TTAGTTGGGTTTTTTTTTACTTTCGTGTTCCAGGTCAAATTAATCAAATCAGTTCCAAAACCCATTGATTGAGCAGAACTCAATCATTTAAATCCATGTGGCACTACCACCTGCAAGCATCCTCTTTCCCAGACTTTTCAGCCTGGGGCTTCAGATACTTCCAAAGACATGGCAGGCATCCTACGTGCAGGCCCAAGCCCGGAAGTGTGGGGTTTGGATGCCCCTAAGTGTTGCTTGCCCTTAACCAATGGGCCGAAGGAGCAAGTTAGGGGAAAATCCCACATCTCCATAGAATATTCATAGCCGAGAGCTCTCATAGGGGAGTCTGCTTGGGGCATGCAAGAATCAGCTTTGCCTCAGCTCTGGACCACACTGCCACCACTGCAAGTTCACAGCCCTACCCCCAGATCAGCTCCCCACCCAGCTGTGCCCTACCAGCAGTGCTGGGGCTGGTCTCCATGGAAACCCTGGACCCACATTGTCGTGGCCCCACTGCTGCTGGGGTCTTCGTGGAACCTGGCCATAGTGACATGGGCAAGGACTGCGTGTAAATGAAGTCCGGTCACCAGCCAGATCTGCCGTTGTACCCACCCCTGAACTAGATGGTAAATTATGAGCCTTTAAGTTTTAAAACTCATGTCATGCATGGCTTGTACTATGAATAAGTACAGAAGTGCTGCTTAAAACTGTTTTTATGAAGTATCTGTGCTCAAACTTGTAGCAGTTCCAAAAAAGGTACACTGCATCAATTCTGGATGAACTAAATCTATATGCAAATTACTACAGGTATATTTCTTTCAAGGTCAGAGTTTTCAAATTTGTCCCTCATTTCCATGTGCTCAGGGAGAGCAGGGTCTAACAGTAAAGGGAAGGTAGAAGTGGCTGCAGGGGGAAGAAGTTGGAGGGCAGAGAATAAGGGGGCTACCTGACCCCCCTATTTATTTTCTCTGCTTTTGCAGTGGGAAGGGGACAAATTCAAGGCAAACCTCCAATAATTAGATTCTAGATCTAGAAAATTATAACATATTCTATAAGTTTTGGGGGTACATGGATAAAGGTTTTTTGGGCCGCAACCAACGGCCAATTATTAATAAGACATATCAGCCAATACTGATCCGACTGCCGGTATGAAGCCTGGTAGCTTGGAGAGCAGCATCAGGCTGGTAAGTGTGTAGGAGGAAAGGAGCATGGGGTAGGGAGATGGAGATACACATGGTGAGGGAGAGTGGGTACTGGGGCAGGCGCTGCACAGCTAAGGCAGGTCAGGGTGCAGGACAGACCTGCAAGCACCTCATCCAGGGAGCACCGGAGGTGGGGAAGGGAGGGTGGCTCTCTGCGCACATCCCAGGGAAGGCACAGGGGGCATGTGCCCCCCAGATTTGCGTGCAGGGTGAGGGCGGGCTTCCCATCTGGGGCAGAGGGCAGAGCCAAGCTCTTCCTGGTGGTGGGGAGAGGACTGGGCCAAGGCTGTTCTTGGGGGGGGTGGCAGCAGCACTGGGAAGAAGGGCTACAGAGAATTTTGGGGTGGCTTTGGCCCCCGGTAGCCCACCCTCCCAGCACTGCTGCCACCTGCCCCAAGTGCAGCCCCAGCCAAACTCCCCCGCTAGGAAGAGCCCAGCACTGCCCCCAATCCCAAGGAGGCAGCCCACCCTCACCCCATGCACAAATCCAGGGGGCTCATGCCCCCCATGCCTTCTTCAGGGCGTGCACAGTGGCAGAAGCCATGCCTCCCCATCCCCACCATGAGCCACTCGTGGCTCCATCCCACGCCCTGCCCCAGCCCCACTCCCTCCCTCACCTTGAGGGCCTCAATCTGCTTCCCCCATGCCCCTTCCCCCTCAACAGACTTACCAACCAGATGCTGCTCTCCACACTGCAAGGCTGCACTCCTGGTTGCGTGCATGCTGCATTACACTGCATTATCAGCCACATCAGCCAAAAAAAGCCAACTGCCAATAATGTCAATTTTCCTTTTATCAGTGCCAATATGATATGAACCAACGTATCGGTGCACCTCTAATACATTTTCCATATACAGAATCTAATTACTTGAGACCATCTGATATTTGAGTAAATACAGTAATCACAGTCTTGCAGCACTCCAGATTACGGTATGTGCTAATATTTTACATCCACCATTTTACACTTCTAAAGTATTAGGAAATGCTTTAACCAATTTATTTTTGCAAATCCTGATGCTCAGTTTAATTCAACATAATATATGATAGTCACTGCCAGTTGAGTGCTGTTCAGTCACTTGTGGAAAGTGAATAGATGGTTTAAATACAATTAGTAGACAATTCTTAAAAATCAAAAAACCATCACTGCAACTGACATCCTTACTCTCTCTCTCTCTCTCTCTCTCTCTCTCTCTCTCTATATATATATATACACACACACC